TTTGTTTATCGGTTACATAAAAATTAAATAAAACTAAATTGAACTCAAAGAACAATTAAATGGAGGATAGGGAATTGAGTTCACCAAGACCTCGTAATCAAGCATACTTGTAAATAACTTGGGGATACAATTACTTGTGATGTTTAAAGTGTAGAAGTATAAAACAGCCATAACAATTTTTTAGAAATTCATGTAAAACAAGACTAAACATTACTCATCTGCGGTTGACATGGCTCATCCACCTAAACTAGGGTGTGGTATGAGCCATCTTCCCTAGGTATGACCTATCAAGGTCTTGACATTACAAGTTTTAGCACATGAAATCAATTCTCTAGCATAGACTATCTTTGGTTGGCATGAACTATCTACATAACTACATTAATCTAGAGGTGTAGCATAGTCCATCTTCCCTTGGCATAATCTATCTAAATTCATATATAACATGCCTATAATCCCATTTCATGAATATCAATCTTTATTGTCACATATGAAAATATTAAGAGTATAAGTATATAATCATGCTTCTAAGACAAGAGTTACATGGTGTATGTACCTACATATATAAGTATTCTACCTAGATTGTAAATCAATTCAATGTAAATACACAAATTGAATAATACATCATCTTTATTCATGAAACTCATCACATACAAAAGTTTTCCCTAAATTAAAGTACAAAACTACATGATTACTTAATTGAGATTACCTCAATCCCTTAGAAGGGGATTTAGCTCATCCTGGTGGTGGTAGAAGCTCCAATGGTCGAAGAGGAAGACTCCACTTTCAGCTCCATGGCAGCCGAAGCCAAGAACACTCAAGAACCCTAGCTATTCCTCACTTTATCTCTCTAGCACTTCAAAATTTGAATTCTATCTTGATATATGATATGTGATACAACTATATACAAGTGTATAAAACCCCCTCCGACATAAATCAATTCAAAAACTAATAAAATCGTGCATTCATGTGGGGAGGAGAAAGAAAAGTAACTGAAATTTCAAATAATTTCAAAGTTTCGCAGATTTGCGTCCAGACGCGGCTGGGTGTCCAGGTGCTTTCTTGGCTCACGCGTAGGCGTTGGCGCGCGGGGCTGGTGGCATTGGGCGTCTGGTTGCATTTTTAGCTGGCTACTGGAATTTCATTTTTCTCAACTTCTTTAATTGTTGGTCACGGATTATAAAGGGCGTCTGGAAGCAAAAAATGCACTAAGAGAGTGCGTCCGGACGCAAGGCTTGATTCTTTTGCTTAGCTTCCTGGGCCTAACTTCATTCTTAGGCTGAGTACGATAGGCTTTAAGTCCATTTTGCCAGGTTTCGTAGCTCGCCATGTATCTTGTTCATTAAAAACCCGTAAAACTCCGCTTTTACATCATTTTGGAGGTAAACCCTAAAAATAACAAATATGAAAGTATGTAAAACGTACTTTATTAACATACTAAACAGACTAAACTATGAAATTAAGAGCGCTTGAATATGCAATATTTGGCACTTATCAGAAGTTGTAATGCTATTTTGATATACTTGGAGTACTAATCTCAAAATTGCTGACAAAAACGTCGGGCTTCGAGTATTATTTCCAAAGCCACTAAGTTTGCCCAATTTGGAGTTTCAAGTGAAAATTTATGTCAAAAATACTGAAGCATATCCAGAATTTCCATCAATGCTCGAACTCTAAGGGGTTGTGCTCGAGCACAAAGTTTTGTGCTAGAGCTCTGGTAGCATAATTTTTTCAAAGCATCTTTTTATTCAACATTTAGCTTTTTTTTCTTGAATTTTATGATTTGTGCTTGGGCACAAAAAGTTGTGCTTGAGCTTTAGGAGTTGTATTTCATCAAATCTTCCTGGTTGAGTCCAAAATTGACCCCAAAGGCCCCGAACATCTCCTTACGCATCAGGAACATCGCAATAAGCTCTAAATACATAGAACTGACCGTCTCTTTGGGTAAAAACCTACGAAAAGCAAATAAACAAAAATAAACATAAGAACCAAGATAAAAGTATCACTAAGGCATTAACATATGCACATTTAAGGGCTTGAATATGTACTATTCAACGCTTATCAACTCGACATAGGAAATGACCGTATTGCCCTTAAGAGTCATTGGACCCCGAACCTGAGGACTTTCAAGGGTAATACAGTCATTTCTTTTGTCGAGGCATTATTAAAATGATGTACCGGGGTCTATAAAAATCTGATCTCCATTTTCAATAAGAAAGAAATTCATTTGATATGGATCAGACAAGAAAACAAAATACAGAGTTTCAACTTGAAATCAAAGCTGATACCGTTATCGACTCCATTAATAATCAGTCGTTTTGTCTGAAATTTCTTAATCCCTGATTCAATCTTTTTCTTGAGCTTAAGATCCATTAGGAGTAATAGAGAGAGAGTTGTGTCACATGTGGCTGTGGAGGGCTGACAATGAGACCATGTGACGGAGCTAAAGAGGACGTGCCGATGTAGTTCCTAGTTCTAGGGTTTATCTTCTTATTATCTCTTTTAACTCTAGTAAACCAACGGCTGAGATGTATTAAATTCTAAGGCTGAGATGGCATCTTATTTGGATGGTGGACTAATGGGCCTTAATGAAATTATGTGAGTTAGGCTAAAGTTATAGTTTTATGAGCTAAATTAGGCTTGTAGAATGATAATACAAATGAGTCGGTTAACGAGCTTGTTCACGAGCCGCTCAATGTTGCTCAAGCTCAGCTCGTTTACTAAACAAGCTTGAAAATCGATTTCAAGCTCGGCTCGTTTACTAAATGAACGAGCCTGAGCCGAGCTTTTAACGAGCCGAGCCCGAGTTGTTCATGAACAGCTTGGTTCATTTGCAGCCCTAATTACAACTATTAATAACAAGGAAAGAAAATAATTAAGGCATATTGCTTAATTCATCCATACATACACTCGAGTTGAATTTAGGGCATATTGCCCAATTCTTAATTTGCAATGCGAAATTAACTCAAAGACCACATAGAACTTCATCGTCCTAGTACCAACATTGCCCCCATGACGTTTACCTCTACGACCACCATCATAAATCTTTTTCAGCCTGAACATATTTTCACTAATCAAAGCCAAATCCATTTTTTCATCACCTCCTCAATGGTAATTATTTGAAACACCGACCACAAAATCTAGCTCTTCGTCTTTGGCTCATCTTCTAGGGTTTTGCTGTAGCCGATTCTCGTCTCCGAGTTTGATGTTAACCTTAATTGAATTATACTTGTTTATCTTAATGGTGTATTCGAAGCTTAGATTAGATGGATTCATGGGAAGGAGCTTTGAGTTGTTCAGAATTGTGTCGTTTGAGGAGTCAAGGTCTATAAGAACCCACTTGCCCATTTTGAGTTTGATCAACATGTGTTTTAAGGAAACTCCAAATGTTACAAGAAGTTAGTTTGACAGTGAGGTTGTTAGTGGTAACGGTTTTTATACAGTCAGCTATGAATCTATATGTTGGCGCAAATGAGGGTGATGTAGGCAGTGTTGGTTATGGTGAGTGTATGAAAAGTGTTCTTTAGAGAAGATCTTCATCATCATGTAATATTCCCACGCCCATTTCCAAATTGGGTATCCAAGTTTGTATGAATGTGTGTGCAAGTATGTGGTATATGTGTAAATATGTGTGTGTGCGTCTATGTGTATATGTGTGCATTAGTGAATATGTATGCGCTTGCTTGAGTGAATTTGTGTACGTGCGTGCGTGACCGCGCGCGCGTGTGTGTGTGTAAGTCTTTTTGTATATTTTTGTGTGTGTTTGTGGATGAGAGAGAGATCTAGAGATATGGTGCTTTATGGAAACAACAACTTGAAGTGTGGGTGGTGGCAGTGGATTAGATCGAAAGGGGTCCATCTTTTTGTTAAGAGAAAATCCATCATCTACAGTAAAATAACATGGATATTTTGCCACTTTTTATACCATTGATACTTTAATATAAATACATTATTGAGTAATGCTCTTAAGGCCTATTTTGGTATGCAAGAATGAAATAGAATGAGAATGGAATGAAGCTATGAATGAAATGAGGATGAGAATGAGAATTGAATGGATTGGTCATTCTTAATCTATTGTTTGATTGCAAATATAAAATGACGTAAGAATGAAATGATAATCACCATTCTAAGTAGTGGTGGTGGAAGGCGGTGGCAGCGGAAGGTGGTGGTGGCGGCGACGGTGGAAGACGGATGGTGGTGGTGTTAATGGTGGTTAAAAATTTCATTCCCAGAAATGAAATTTTCATTCTATTGGTTTAGATGTGAAATGGATTTTCATTCATTTGAATTAAATTTTCATTCTAAGGGAATGGTCATTCTTACTTTACATCTTATACCAAACGGGAATGATCGAAATGGAATGCCCATTCCATTCCATTAATGCGTACCAAATTAGGACTTTCTTGCCATTAACTTTCAATTTTAACCAATAAATTAAAAGATGTATTAAATGATTTATTTGAATTTTTATATATTTTTGTAAAAAAAAAAATCTCATTCTAGGCATTCAATATGGAGAGTTAACCGATTGGGGTGTAACCATGACGAAAAAATAAATTTGCTTGTATTTTAAAAAAAAATGAGGATACCGTGTGTAATTTAAGCATTCGTGAAAGAGTGTAAATACAATTTACTAGATAAAGATATACACTCTCTTTGTATCAAAATAAATGTCCCCCTTTTTAATTAACCAAGTCAAAATATTATTATTATTTTTAGGGTTAAATGCAAAAAAACCCCCTAAACTATTGGCCTATTACAATAAACCCTCCTAAACTACAAAAAACCCCCTTGAACTATGAATTTGTTGTAATTAAGGACATTCCGACAGTTAGATTGATCGAAAAAATGAAAAGACAAACATGACCTTACTGAAAGGATGAGATTAAGGGGTGTTTAAGCTAATCAAATCAAAATACACATTTATACTGTAATTTTTAACCTAACTAAAAAATATCCAACAACACAACCTATAGGTACTGGTATTACCCATATCACAAACGGGTCTCTAAAGAGCTTCGTCCCCATTTTAATTGCTCTACCTTCTCTGTAGAGAGAGAAAATTTACAAACTCAAAAAAAAAAAAAAAAAAAAAAAAAAAAGACACAACACAACACGCGTACATATCCTTCACCAACTCTCACTACAGACCACACCCCGGACACCACGTTCGTCGTGGATATGAAATCACCTATCAACGACGGCAAAGAATTAAAGGGCATTGGGGACTCTCCGACGATTAAAGCTCTTCTTGTGGGATCTATAGCTGTGAGCAACAACTCAGACACCATATCTAAGTCCTAATTCTAAATTCCGATCCTATGAATTTTCAAGCTTGGTTATGGCATCAACATTTGCATCTGTGTCTTTGATTGATGAAATCAATTTTCGAACCCTAATCCTCGTCGGACACTTCTACCCCCACAATCTTCATTCACCTTCATCTCTCGAATCCTCTGTATTTCTTCAATACTTTCATCCCAAGCTCTTCAAACGGTTCGATTTCGACACCAAATCCATGCGGAAGCTAATAGAGGCCGCAATTTAGAGGATAAGGACTGGTTGTTCGGATTGATGATATTTTTGCAAATTGGTAATCTTGCTCATGTCACTACTTTTCACGGAGCGGTTAACCTCAAACGATGGAGCAATAGAGAAAGATGACAATTAGGCAAATTGGGTACTTGCTGGATCGTGGGGTTTTTGATTGGTGGCTTGCAGCAAAATGGTTTGATGCAAACTGGGTACTTGCTCGATCATAAGGTCGTTGGTTTTTATGATCATTCTCTTTCCATTAAGCTTGGTAATCAATGGGTAATATATATATATATATATATATAAGATGAACAATGTGTGTATACAAAAGGGTATGAGGGTGTGTTTGGGTAAGGGGTAACAGAGTCTTTTGATAGTTAAAATGGCATTATAGTTATCACATTATTTATTGTGTGTTTTAACGCTAGGATCCAACCGGCACATGGCCGGATGGAGCTATTTGCAACAAAAGTGTATAGTTTGAAGAATTTTTTATAATTTTTGTAGTTTAAAGAAATTTGTTGCTAATTAACAAATAGTTCAGGGAGTTTTTTGTATTTAACTCTGATCTGAGCTTATAATTTTTTTATAAATTATTGCCTCTTTATAAAAGACAATTTATTTTAGATAACCTCTTCACTAGCGAGATCTATAACATCCTGACAACTGATATGAACCAATAATAAATTGACACATTATATTTTAATTATCAAATTATAAATAATAATTAAAATATTGTATCTGATTTGATGAGTTAGTATCTAGCCAAATTTATTTATTTTTTTATTTATTTTTATCATAAAGAGAAGATAAGAAAGTGTAGAAATTGACATGACAGTAGTTGCAAGGTGTTTGAATTTTAAAAAATCGAAAACACACGTATACATAAAGAAGTCGTGAAATAGATTTGTGATGTAACTGTATATCATACCAAATCTGATTAGTCAGTGAGGCATCCCAATCAGCAATATTGATTGCTTGATTACCCCGAGATAGATCTACACCGTCGCTTTGTAGCTGAGTTTTACATCTTCATGATTCCGACTCGGTCGCTTTGTAGCGTAAATGTCCGGGACTCGGAAGTCGGTACAGGGAAGAGAGAGGTTGAAAATGAATGTGTTTTGTTTGCGTCAAAACCCTACGTGTTGGCAAACCAAACTCCAAACCTGATTTCCATTCAGCATTGGAAACTTAGTTTTTTGGTTTTTTTTATTTGTCGCGGAACTTCGGTTTCCACGTTTGTTTATTGCCACAGTACAGGTACAGCTGTCCTTTCCTTAAAATACGTGACCATTCGTTATCTTGGAAATTAATATCCTTTCCTAATGGAACTCAATTTGCTTTTAAATTTTCCTTTTTAATCCCTGCCCTTTTGAGTACATAAATAAATTTTCTTAATTTGCCCCTTCCCTATCCCTATCTAACCAGCCTCAGATTAGGGCTGAAGCAAAGAATTCAATTTTTCTTGCTCAACAATTCTATTTTGTTCCCAAGAATCTTTTGTTCATAGAATCTGTTTTGCTTTTACTGTTGCACAATTTTATTTTGGTACTTTTGGAATCTAAATAAGATCTTTTGGGAGCTTCACTGTTAAAAAGGTAACAGACTTGATTCCTTCTTTATCTTCTTTGTTTAATTTGAAGCCATTCTGCTGGATGTGTTAGGTATGAGCATTGTCTCTATTTTGTTTTCTTCTTTTTAAGTTTATGGACAGGTCATTGTTTGAATGTGAGTTTGATGATAAGACTTTATTTTATTTTATTATTATTTTTTTAATTAGTATTTATACACACATGTCTTTAGTGAAGCATCACTTTCATCTTCTAAAATGTATAAATAATTTAGTTTTTTTTTCTTTTCTTTTTACTGGGTTGTCATGCTCCTATGTTTACCTTTCTCTTTTTTTTCTTTGTTAAAACGTTTGACTGCTAGGGTTAGATTGAAGTTGTTCATGTAAGTTATGAGCAAGAAAGGCAAAACTCAAAACATGTTCAAATGGTTTGCAAGTTGTTTTGTTGAGTTGTAATATTTAATTCGTGCCATGGGCTAGTTTGGTAGGAAGGAAAGGGGAGGAAGAATGTAGCAAGCTTAAGGAAGAAGGGAAGAGTCCCTTGGAGCCCGTAATTTTGCTTCCATAAAAAAAAATTAGAGGTACGAAAAAAAAAAAGATTTTGTGGGGGTCAATATGAAATATATATATATATATATATATATATATATATATATATGTATATGTATATTTAAGGGTACGATGGTTGAATAATAATGTCATTACTTTTCTTTCCTTCCACTAAACCAAAAACCAAACAAAAGGAGCGATAAATACCTTCCCTTGCCTTTTCTATTCTTTTTCCTTCCTTTCATCCATTTTTTCGTATCTTACCACTAATGTATTAGCAATTTCATCATCATTATCTTTGATTTAATTCCATATGAATGTGATCGACCATAATGACTCTTTTTTTCTCATTCCTTTCTATTACAAGCTTTGAGTTGCGCGGTACAAAAGTGGTTGTGGAAAGTTCGATATCAGACAAAAGAACTAGAGCGGGTGAATAGGTCTTAGCTTGCTCTTTTGATAATTTTAATTTTACTGAAATAAAATTAAATAAACCACACAAAACAATAAAAGTAAGCTTTATTGTGATGAGACGTGGGAGGGGAAGAAAGCTCAATGGAAGGAGAGAGAGACTCGAGCGAGGGAGGTGGCACAAGTGGATTAGAAGCCACAATAGAGGAATTAGATAATGAGTCCGGGGATAACCATTGAAGACAGAGTAGAGGAGAGACCGAAGAAGACGAGACTGAGTTGGTAAAGGAAGGATATGGAAATAAAGTCTCATAAAAAACCACATGACGAGAGATTTAGAGGCGATTTGTGAGAGGAGTAAAACATTTATATCCTTTATAATGAGTGCTAGATCCCAAAAACACACACTGGCTAGTGCAAGGCTGAAATTTGTGAGTGTTATAGGAGGCTAAATAAGGGTAACATGCACAACCAAACCCACACAAATATCATAAGTGGGTGAAGAGCCAAACAAAACTTCATTGGGAGATTTATTGTCAAGAACTTTGGTGGGAAGCCGATTAATGATATAAATTGATGTCTGAAATGCATCAACCCAAAAGGTTTTGGGAAGTCGGTCTAAAAGGGCAAGACCTATGTGAACAACATGGCGATGCTTTCGTTCCGTAACGCCATTTTTTTCAGGGGTTTTTGGGCAAGAGAATTGGTGTTGTATTCTATTTGAATTTAAGAAATGAGCAAAAATTTTACCGGTGTATTCTCCCCCACTGTCAGATTGAAGAGTTTTGATTTTGGTAGATAATGCATTCTCAATCATGGATTTAAAATGCACAAAACACTGAAAAGCTTTACTCTTACAAGTTAATGGATATAACTAACTGAAACAAGAAAATCCATCAATTAATAAGAGATAATAAAGATAGCCATCACGAGACATAATAGGAGCAGGGCCCCATAAATCAGTATATAAAATCTCAAAAGGGAATGAAAATTTAGTGTCTGAAAAACTAAAGGGAAGTATAGACATTTTGCCAACTAAACAACTAGGACAAATAGATTTAGTTGAGCAAGATCCGTCAATGGTGATAGTATGGGTCGAGGCGAGACGTCGGAGGATTTAATGATGGGGATGGCCTAATCGCATAAGCAGACATCTCCAGATCTGCGATGGCTAATGAGAGCGGTCTGAGGAGGAGACACATATGGACCAGAGGAGGATACTTAGAGAGGGTAAAGACCACCTTCACATGGATCGTGGAGTAGGACTTTCCCCTTGAGGCAATCCTTAATAACAAAACCACGAGAGTGAAAAATAAATTAACAATTAAGATCACGAGTGAGTTGAGCGACAAAGATAAGATTTTTCTGAATAGAAGGAACACAAAAGACATTTTTGAGAGTTAAAGAGGAAGAAGGAGTAGTGAGAGTAATTTTACCAGTATGAGTGATATGTATAGTTTGTCCATTACCCACGCTTGTGGAGTTGCTTCCAAGATACTCACTGGGTGACCGAAAAGAGCAGTTATATAATTGGTGGGTACCACTGATGATCTTGAGAATGGAGATGCATCGCAGCAAAGGTCGATGGTAAGTCAGATCAAAGCGGTTATAGCAGCGGAGTGCAGTATGACCATGACCACCACAAATTTGTCAAATATCCGAAGGAGCAGAACCAAGAATATCATTGTTGAAACGGGGGCCAGAAGAGGCATAGGAGGAGCGACCGCGATAAGGTTGGCCAGAGGGTTTGAAGAAAAATTAGAAGGATTTGGAGAGTTCCGACCACGGCCACCTCGATAACCACGATCACCGCGTGTTGCTACAAAGGTCGTATTTTGAACAGTTTGCTAAGACATATTTGTGGTATGAGAGAGATGGAGCTCATGAGAGAGGAGAAGAGATTGTAATTCAACAAAGGAAATGGGGTTGGAGCGAACCATAATTGCCATACGAAAAGACTTATAGTCGGGGCCAAGACCGGTGAGGACATGTAAAACAAAATCAGATTCGGAGAGAGGTTGTTGGATGGCTGCAAGAGCATCCGAAATGCCCTTAATTTCATGTAGATAGTCAGTGATAGAATGAGTCCCTCGTTTGAGGTTTTGAAGATGAAAGTGCAAGGAAAGACAGCGTTGGCTAAAGGAGGCAGAGAAAGCTTTTTCCAAAGCAAGCTAGACGTCGCGAGAAATTGGTAGCCAAATAACTTGAGCAAGAACAACTTCAGTAAGGGTGGCATTGATCTAACTTAAGAGAAGTTGATTAGTGCGAGTCCCAGATGTAAACACGGGATTACGAACAGTAATAACGACACCTTTATCATCGGTTTTCTGAATGGTGTCAGACCGTGGACAGAGAGAGCCATCAACATAATAGAGGAGATTATAAGAATGAAGAATAGGAAGAAATTGACTTTTCCATAAGAAATAGTTGGAGCGGTCAAGTTTAATGGAGACTAGATAGGAGATATGGTGAAGCGGGGTGGGAGTAGACAGAGGTGCAACCAAGAGAGATGAATCTGAAGTGGTGAAGTTGGAGGTAGGAGAGGGAGATGAGGGCGTTGTGCTGTCAGAAGAAGACATGCTGCAGGTTTGGAGAAGAAAAAAAAAAGAATGATTATTGCTGGAGAAGAGAATGATTATGGCTCTGATACCATGTAATTGATATGTTTTGCATGTCCCAATAGGACTGCCGTCATTTG